GGCTACTAACTCCTCAGTTAAGAATCTGAGTGAGTAGCTCCATAGACTGAACAGAGCTGAGCTATTATAAAACCTCACCAACACACTAAGAGGAAGTTAAAAAATAAACGACAACCGCAACAACCACAAAAACTAAGTAAAACATCATAGGGGCCAAATGCTGGGAACCAATATTAGAAGGTAGATCCATCAGATGGCATGGCAGTGTAGGGATACATAAAACAAACACAAAAGGTCTATATTTGTTGGTATAAGAGCATTCATAGCTTTCATTATCTGTCCTTGAGCCCCAAAACAACCACCAGTAATGTGTCATTTGATTAATGTGCAAACTAAAGCTCAGAAAAGTCAAGTGAAGAGTCTAACTAAGGTCACTCTGCTAGTTGGTGGCAACCAGTGGATCCCAGATCTCCTGACTCTTGTGCAGCACCTCATACCAATAAGTAGCTTTTTTAATTTTTTGTCACAGTGACATTTAAAACTTGCACTCTATCCACTTTAAAAATAAAGAGTAAGAAATATGTAGCCAATATACAAATGTATTCAATACACGATGCACATAGAATTCAGTTCCATATAAGTCATATTTCTTTCATGTTGTACTGACTCATGGTTGCAAATTTTACATTTGTGTATGATTACTTCATTAAGATCTTTGCTTCGACACCTAAATGGACCATGCCTATTTTTTAAAAGATTTATTTATTTATGCATACAAACCTCGGGTGCAGGCCAAAGATGCGAGTGCAGCGAGAGGCTTCACCCGAGACAGAGTGGGGAGCAGAACAGGCAGATCCACGAAGTACACTGCTGAGGGGAGCAGCGGGGGGGGGGCCAAGAGAGGTCTGCTGTGCCATGTGGGGTCACCTCTGGGGCGGGGATCGAAAACATGCTTTAGTGGCTTTAGCTTCTCAGTGCTGTGTTTTAACTCGCTGCACCACCTGGGAGGGTCCCACCATGTCCATTTTTATCTAATCCGCAGTATTTACTTGAAGAATGCATGAAGGATCCACTGGTGGAATTATAGCCAGAAGGAAGATCATAAGCCTGTAGGTGAATTTAGCCTTTGGCTTAGGAAGGAAAAAGAAATGCTGGTGGTATCTTACTGGGATACACTGAAGAGGGGGGAAACACTGAAGAGGGGGAAAGGAGTTACATTTTATTTGCTGGTAAAGATGAATATGCTTGTACTGCACTCACTGATTTGAGCTCAGGACAGAGATGATCAAAGCAAAGCAGACGAAGTTGCTGAGTGGTTGTTTACTGTGTAGTGAAAGTCAAAATAGCGTATTAATTCTACAAAAAAAAAAATCTGGCAGCTTCTTGATAGTCAGATGCACATCAGACTATCTGGTCAGTTTAAGAAGGCAGTTTCCTAAACACAGGCATCAGAATCCCCGGTGATTGGCACCCCAAATTTGCATTTTTAAAAAAAAAATTTTTAAGATTTATTTATTTGTGCATACAGAACTGGGGTACAGGCCAGAGGCTCAGGGGTGGCAAGAGGCTTCACCAGAGACAGAGTGGGGAGCAGAACAGGCAGATCGACGAAGCACACTGCTGAGGGAAGCAGCGGGCGGGTCAGGAGAGGTCTGCCGCGCCATATGGTCACCTCCGGGGCAGGCGGGGATCGAACTCATGCGGAAGTGGCTTTAGCTTCTCTGTGCTGTGCTCTAACCCGCTGCGCCACCAGGGAGGGCCCCAAATTTGCATTTTTAATAAGCTTCCCAGGTAATTCTCACTTCTGAAGTTTATGAACTGCCTGGCTGGAGTAACAGAATGGAAGAGGAGCTAAGAGTGTCTAGGGAAAATTCTGCATTATAAAGTGAGAAGGAAAACCTACCAAAGAGAATGAAATAGGAACTAGGAAGCTAGACTCTGGGTCTTTCAGCAAGGAAGGTGAACATTTAAGAATAGGTGATTCAAAGTGTGAAATGGAATAGAGATGCCAATAATGAGGACAGAGAGGGCCTCCCTGCCGGCACAAGAGTTAAAGTCTCAGCATTATCAGACTATCTCCAGCCACTGTGACATTGGTTCGATCCCCAGCCAGAGAGGTAGCCCACATGACGCAGCAGACCTCTCCTGTCTCACCCGCCGCTATCCTCAGCATGTCTTTCAGTCAATCTGCTGTTCTGCTCCCCACTCTGTCTCTGGTGAATTCTCTCACCTCCTGTACCTTTGGCCTAGACTCTAGTTCCTTTATGCATAAATAAATAAAATAAATATGTTTTATAAAAGAATGAGGATAGAAAAAAGTTGAGAAGACAGAAGCCAGATTTTGCTAATCCTCAACCTGTCCTTCAAAACCAAACTCAAAACTTTGCCACTCCAGGGATGTATTTATTTCCTTGACTGTTCAAAAGAGCTCACCAATATTTGTAGTACATAATTCTATTGTAATATCCCACCTGTTTTACTGAAATTCTGTTTTGCTCCATTAGAAATGTCTGTTTTTCTTCCTCCTTAGATTGAGAATTCCTTGAAGGCAGGAACTGGGTCTTATTCTTTTTCGAAATGTCCAGTGCTGATTGAGTGATTGGAGAGCAATCGGAGGCAAAGAGCAAGGTCTGGTCCTGAAGGTAAAGTAATCCTGTATGTTTGAAGGCAAATGGGGTGGGGTGGGGACAATTGTTGCTGCCAAGAAGGAATAAGTAGGTAATCAGTTGCTCCAGATCATTAAAGAGATGATTAAAACCACGGCTTTAACTATAAAATGCAGGAAGAAATCTTTTCCTGAGTCTTGAAGGAAGAGAGGATAGGTGTACAAGATAAAGTGGTTAAGCTCAGATGACGCTTCTCTAAATAAGACTGGAAGTTAAAAGGCCTTTGGTGAGAAGGAGGTACAAAAACTGGGACCTGGAGCCTGAAGAAAAAGATTGGAAGAGTGCTGGTGGGAGTGTACTGGCCAATCAATAGGAGATTAAAAGAACCTAAGCTGTGTCCTCCAGCACAGTTAAGAACCTGTTATCACAATCTTATATCTGTAGCCCTTGCAATAATGAGTTGTATCAGTCATGCTAATTGGTTCTGACTATTTGATCTGGGATCTGAAACTAACTGAAACCACGGATCTCTTTCCTAAACTCTCCCTGCACTTCCTTTTCCACCTTTGAACGCGCTCCTCAGAGTGCATTTCCCATGACCTCTATCTCTCTTTTCCTTGTTAGAATGTAAGTAATGAGGACAAAGCTGTGTCTTTTTTACTGTTGTGTTGTACCTTAACATGGTGCTTTGTACACAATAGGCATACACCTCTAATACAGTATTTATTACATCATATTGTATTTGTTTGCATGTCTGTCACACCCATTCCCCTCCCCCCTTTAGACCATGAACTCAAATTCAGAAATTGAGTTGATCTGTCTCTGGTGTTTGGAGTTTAGTAGTTTCACAGATGTTAACGGAATCAAAAATTGTTGAAATGAATGCATGGGTAAAAGAATGAATAACAGATACTAAAATGTAGGGCTCTGGGAGGAAATATAAAAAAGATGAATACTGCACAAACACTGTTTTGTCACTATTGAGTCTTCAGTCTCATTCTAACTTCAATAGGCGTGTAAAAATGGTAGAAAATGATGCTGGGGTGGGAATACCAGTTTTCAAATACCCTGTAAAAGTCTGGAATACACATTCTGGATCTTCCTATGTAAGTATCCAGTCACTCCCTTTCATTATACAAGGACTGGGTTTGAAAGGGCTAAGGGTATCCTGCAACTGTATCAGGGATTTGTTCACTCTTACTAGGTACCAGTTTGAAGAGATAAAATGATGTATCAGCATGGCCCCTGTTTTCTTGAGAATACAATTTGCAATTGACAGTGCAAAGAAAAATTAAAATGATGAAACCGCATTGGATCAAAACAATGGAAATCCACCCACTCCCAGTCTCAAGGAAAAATAACCACTTGAAGGAGGGCATCTTTAAATTTTCATTGATTTGTTAGGGGGTGTGTGTGTGTGTATGTGTGTTTTATGCAGGCTTACAGTCTGTGAACCCAGAAGAAAAAAACAAAAACTGACCCACATATACTTAGAGCATATTATGTGACCAAGCATTATTCTATGTGAGTCACGTATATTATTAGCTCATTTCTTAAGCACTGTATTAGAGGAATACCACTGTGATCTCCATTTTGGTCGCGCTGAAACTGAGGGACACAGAGGTAATGCAACATACTCAAGGTCAAAGAACTCAAAGTGAGGGAGCTGAGATTCTAGCCCAAACAGTCTGGCTGCATACATCAAAGAGGACAGCAGACGAAAGCATTTCGTTTAGGTTTCGGGTTTACCTGGGCGCGTTAAACAGAAAATTCCTTATCTTTCCGGATTACGATAATCTCAGCATGTATGGAGCCTGTTATATGCCACACGCTAAAACATGCTTTAGTGGCATTATCTCATTTCATCCTCAAATAAACCGTGAGGTACTATTTTTAAATTCCCATTTTCAGCACAAAAACAAAGACTTAAGTACAGAGATTTAAATGATTTCCCCAAGGACTGAAATCCAGGCAGACGGACTCCACTATGAGCTTCTTAGTCTTTCCTAGCAGCAAAAACGAGGGATCTCAAAGGGATGCCACGAGAGTACAATGAAATAATGGATGTGAAAAGGCCTCGGTGAACAAGTGCAAGGGTGAAGGCCTAGCCGCTGGAATCACAGTTGAAAACTGGTTACCGAGGGCCCCCGTCCAGCGGTTGCTAGTCCCAACCCTGCCTCTCCGCCCAAGTCACAGCGATATCTTTGAATCTCTTTCTCAGTCTCTTCCGATCCTGGCCCCAAACATTGGGCTGAGCGGCAGACCGGAGAATAGAAGGTACGCGCGCGAGCAGGAGGCGGGGCCTGTCGCCCCATCCGTACCGGCGGTGGCCTCTGCACATGCGCTGTGGCTCTGCGGCTTCAGCCGCCCTGTCGCTGCAGCCAATCAGAGCCCGCGGCGCGCTGGATACGTAGGAACGCCATGAGAGTCGTTGCGTGCGAGGGGGGCGACGTCAGGGCGCTCGGCGAGCCCGTCTCTCCTCGAATGAAAGGAAACAACCTCCGGCGACTGAGCCCCGCTTCCAGGCGCTGCTGGAGAACCGAGACCGACTTCTTTCTCTTTCCCCTCCCTGGCGCTTCGCTCCTGCCCTTCGCTTCTGGGTCCCGCCGGTGAGTCCCCTCGGCACCCCGGGACCCCCCATTCTCTGGCCGGCGGGAGAAGACAAGGAGGATGGCGGTAGCCAGGCCGCCGCCCCTGTCCGTTGTTAAGGGGGACTCGGTGGTCTTGCTTTATTGTCAGGGACCCCAGGAGCGCTGCTCCTGTAAGGCGCCTGGCAGGGAGGCTGCTGAGAAAAGTGCTTTGGAGGAACGGAGGGAGAGCTTAGGCTGAAACCCAGGACTTCGGGGGAGGGGGCGCAACATGTAAGGAGGAAAAAAATAACTGGGAATTTTTAGTCTTTGCCATCGCTTAGGACGTCTTTGGAAAGAGGGAGACTCCCAGTTGGGGAAGAGGAAGAGGAAGAATTGTTAGGATGGCAAGAAGGCTAGCCGTGCGGAATGAGGAAAAACTCCAGGGTGGGGAAATTAGGGGTGAAACTGAGCTAGAAAACGAAGACTCTTAGAGGGCGAACTCCTGGGGGAGGCGGGTGAAAGTGGAAGGGTGATGTTTTCCTGGATTCGGGAGGGTGGCATAAGGACAATTGGGGAACCCTCACTTGACGACGGGAGGAACCTGCTGAAGTGTTTTAGAGAAAAGAGTTTTGCGAGTTTATCTAGCGCTTGATTAGAGGGAGATCTGGGAGTCGAGTGTAGGGAGGGATAAATAACGGAGAGGATCCGGTACGTTATGTGTACCAGCCTTTATTATATAGATGAACAGCACGGCTTACTTGTGAAATTTGTTCCTTTCGGTATTCTACGTGGAAGTTGAAAGATCTTATATTTTTTGAACCCCCTTTTCTTTTTCTTCAGCTTACTACGTAATATCGGGTCTTATTCATGCACCCTGGGGTTTGAAACAACTGGAAAATTCCTTCAGTTTCCATTTGAATAACCGCAAAAAGCAGTGCGAAGCATGTAATAATATCGAGCAACCCAATTCAGGTGCCCTTCCGGTTCATCTCTCATTCGTTTATTTCTCTCCACTGTAACTTTCCTAACAGAAATACTGCTTCTTTGCGGAGCACGTTTATATATTTTGATCTGCTGTCTCAACTTGCTTGTGCGTGGAATTGTTTGATCTTCCGGAACTGCAGTTTTTGTTTTGTTTTGTTTTGTTTTGTTTTGTGTGAAAATGGGCTTTCAGATGCCAGACCTTGAATGAGCTCCCCAGTTGGTTCTTGAATGCTCTCCTTGATGTTTCAGGTTATTTCTTCCTTGGTGCTTCACAGCATCTTGGAAAAGCAGACACTCATTGATTGCTGCAGCCTACCGAGTCCGGCTTTTCTATTTTTTTCATACATTTAAATTAGGGTTTTTCACGCTGTTATCTTTGCCTCTATTTCTGCTTTATAGCATCTATAATGTTTGGGGTTTTTTTAAGGAGAAGATTTAATTTTTGGTTGAAAGCATCAAACTTTGATCTCTACCTGTTCTGAAAGTCCTTTTAGTCTAAAATTAAAATGACATATAACTGCATCATGAACCCTTTAACGTCGGTCCTTGGGATGCCCTTATTTTCCTTAACTAGACACCTTGTATGTGGCAACTGAATAAAAATCTGTATTTTTCTGTTAAAGACATTTTTGCTAGGAGTCATTGTTTCCATGATGTTCTCCACTTTCATGTTTTACAAGGAGGCTGTAAAAAAAATTAGCGAGATATGCACAGATGCATTATTTGAATTTTAGTGGAAAAATCCATTTAGTCATTGCAATTGGGGAAAGTTTATAATTGGTTTGGTGCACTTTCTGTCCACTTTACAAATTATATTTAAACTGACTACAGAAAAAACCACACTGGGGTAGTTTTGATTGCGGAATAAAGTGTACCTCTTTTCTCTTTTAGAGTTTGGGCTCTGGTGTATATGAAACACATGTTCTCAAAATTGGGATGAGAAAATTTTTCCTGCTTATAAATTAAAGGACATCAAATTCAGCACGGATATAGAATTTTGGGGATACTGTTTTCAGAAGTGATTTTAAGAATAAAAAGGAATTTTCTACTGTAGGGTTTTTCTTTATCTTAAGCCAGTTTTATTGCCTATGCTGAGATTGTATAGAAACTTCACATTAAAGATATCTGTACAGGTTAGATTCATAATATGACATCCTTTTTACTGGCCAAGGATGGCCGGGAGAAATGCGTAATAAATTAGAGTGGTTTCAGAGTGCCCACTATTCATTGCATCGTAGTAAACGAAGCTAATGTAAAACTCAAATAGAAATGCTGGTGCTATTTACGAATTTTGGCATTTTGCATAGTTAATTCTAAAGATTTAGGCATCTGTATTCTTGATAAAGCAACTGAACCCACGTTTGCCTGAGGAAACGCACTTCCCCTTTTGTTTCTTTTGTTTCTCTGTTATGTCCTCCCCCCTTTAATCCTAAAAGTATTTGATGCCTGTTTTCAATCAGATTCACGGTTTATAGCCAGTGCTATGAAAACAAGCCCTATTGTAAAGTATCAGATGCCATTTGGAAGACTGAAGCATTTAAAATTGTAGATAACATTAAGTTAAACCCATCAAAGCAGAGGCTGTCAGAGCTTTGAAGTTTTCATTAAAAAGAAAAACCTAGATCAAAATTGATGAAGAGACCTGTTTCTTTGTGGCTTCCTGTTAAATTCTGATTAAGTAGCTGCATCTTTATATTGAAAAGTGCTGAATGGTTTGTAGCCACCACCTTGGTGCCATCCAGTTGCTACTGTTCTTGGTAAACAAGTGATGCTCAGAAAGCTACAATGTAGTGTTAGCCCATTTTCAATATGGTGTTAAGAAAATGTATGCGTAAGTAGAAAAATGGAAAAAATAGTTAAGACAGAAAATTAAGAATTTTCATCATTTTATATGTTGTGTGTGGCAACCTGGGTTTCTGGCTGCCTACTTTTATTGATATGGGGAAACTACAGATCGATAACTTATTTTATGTTTAAATTCTGAAGAATCCATGTTGAGATTGATGATGTAAATCTGAAACCTTCCATGTTAAAGCTTTTCTTCCCGTTTTTCACTTAACTATGCACCTGTGATTATAATTTGACTAAATTTAAGCCTGGTTCAGAAAAAAAAAAATTTCCTTTATGTCGTATTACCAATTTAAGTATGAAAGTTACTACACTTAGAACACCACTGACAGTTTATAACATTTAATTAACAGATTTTTGGATTAATTCTGTGTCAGATAATACCATTTCTGCAAATGATTGATTCCTAAAGTCTGTTTTTGAGTATGCTATTACAAGCTTAATTTTTTCTTTATTTGAAAAAGGAATACAGTAACAAAAGTTAATTTATTAAAGACAGATGAGCATATTTAAAAAAATTGAAAGTAATGCAGGTTTTTAAAATGTATCCCAAGGCCCCGCTTAAGTAATTTACTTTTTTCTTTTGTTAGTTTGTCAATAAGTGAACTTTAAGGACTTTTGTAATTATAGAATTCTTAAAATACTGTGTGGTATCTTGGTAGGTTTTGCTCTGCCTTTAGATATATAATTCTTTGTCTCCTTGAAGGGGCATCTAGTGATACATGAAATATATTTTGCATTAATTATGTCAGCAGATGACTATTTTAATATCATACATTGTACTTTTTTTTAAAACTCATCCGTGTAGAAATAGTTCTAATTATTTCACATACCCCCGAATTTTAGAGCAGTTTGATTTTTCTCAAATGCTTCATTATTTTATATATACATGTATATTTTTTATTATGGAGACAATCTTAGTTTTTAGCATCAGTTAGTGTGTATGAAACAGCCATTTTAAATGCATATATTAAAACTTAGGTCAAATATAAAGCAATTTATGTGACTGTGTAAGCTGATTTTAAAATGAAGTTAACCGTTTTGTTGCCCTTCTTATTCTCTCTAGCATTTCTTGAGGCTTACAGTGGCATTCTAAAGGCAATTACAAAATCATGTCAAGCTCAGTTGAACAGAAAAAAGGGCCAACAAGACAGCGCAAGTGTGGCTTTTGTAAGTCAAATAGAGACAAGGAATGTGGACAGTTACTGATATCTGAAAACCAGAAGGTGGCAGCACACCATAAGTGCATGGTAAGTAGACCAACGACTGAGACCCGAAACCCTGAGCTTCTTAACAATGACTAGTTCTTGAACACTAAATAAAACAACTCAGCTAAATTTTTAAGAAATGGTTTCTACTATATGCCATTTTTACGAGAAAATTTCCTTTTAAATTTGCCATCTTAGTCACTGTTTCACTGTAATTTCTTTATATATGAACTTTAATGTTTTTTAAAATGTACTTTATAGCTCTTTTCATCTGCTTTGGTGTCATCACACTCTGATAACGAAAGTCTTGGTGGATTTTCTATTGAAGATGTCCAAAAAGAAATTAAAAGAGGCACAAAGCTGGTAAGTTAGTATTTCTGCCTCTTCAGAATAAAATTTATTTTAAACTCATTAAAGAGGAAATTGTTGTTTTAGAATATATTATTGCATTAACTGAGTATAAATTTAAATTCAGTCTTTTTTTGTCTTTCCAAACTAGCAAATTCCAAGCCTGACTCTTAACTTACCACTCAACAAGAGAGGAGTAAATCAATATTTCTATGAAAATATTTTCATTTCAAAAAGAATTAAAATCTTCTTGGAGATGGCATTGACTTAGAAAACAAGCAGTGTGCTTAATTTAGTGTTTTGTGTTAAAATCCTTGTTCAACTACATTTTCATAATGAAAATCTGATGTTTTCATCTCCCACCGTAAAGTAATTGGCATTGTAAATGAAGACCGCACTACCCTTGCAATGGGAAAATGTTAGCACTTGTTGAAGAAAGTATTTCCCATAGCTCAGCTGTAGGGCACATACACACAGCATCTGTGATTTGGGATAACTTGGTCAATTTTCTGAAGCTGTACTAGAGTAGTATTCAAATAGTTGTTTTCACTACCCGTAAAGTGTTTGGCAAGATACTGCATCACTTGATTGCAAACGTATTTTCTCAGTATTTATGATACATTATGATTTATAGTGAAACAACTGATTGAAATATTTCACTTGTTTTTCTCCTTTGAGCTCTGTCCACTTATCTTTAAATATATTTCAGTAGCTTCACTGCCAAGTGTTTCATTGTTTTAAAGATGGATTTAGCAGAACATCTGTCTTGTGTTCTTAAGCACTGCAGAATCTCATATTTCACAGAAAATCTGAAGGAAAGAGAGGGGCCAGCATTTTGATGATCAGAAATAATCAGTTTTGGAAAGTACTCTTCTAGTATTAGGAAAGAAGCACTATGGAGAAGTTCAAAGATAGCATGTGGAATTTGCTTTAGGATAATCTCAAATACTGGAATCAGTATTGGCACAAATGGTAATTAAGAGATCAGACAGTTTTTGTTATAATGAGACCTTAGCTGTGAAAATGTTCCCCTACCCCCAAAACTGTCAATAGCTGTAGAATGCTCCATTTTTTAAATGTGATTTTTTTATGTGGTGGTTTTAGATGTTCTCATGTTACTGTGTCTTGTTGATTTCTTAGAACCGGGGCAGTGTATTTTTCTTTCCTAGCCTTTATGACAAATTTAGATGCAAAAAAAAAAATACTATTTACCTGAAAGTGGTTGTACTGTAAGCCTTATTACACCTTTACTAATTCCTTGACATTATGAATATTCCTGGAAAATGCTTCTACTTCTGAACTTGTTAGTATCTTTGTTACTTGACATGGCTGCTCTAGTCAGAACAAAACGTAGTTTTGTTCCCTGACGTGACAGTATTTTTAACAAATGCAGTGCCTAGTTTTCCATAAAATACTGGCATGCATCTGGCAGTATGACTAAATTCAATGAGAGTTTAATTTATTTTCATGTGTTTGTGAAGAAAGCATCAGAACTTTGTAGAAGTTTCACTATTAAAAATTGTCTTGATTAATTTTAATGATATAGTGCAAGGAGTTAATTTTTATTCCCAAGTGTAGTGAGTTTTCAACAAACTTTGAAAACTTGATCTAGGAAGTGGAACAGCATTGGAGCTTAACCCACAAGCTGTAACAATGGAATTGGATTTGAATCCTAGCTCTTTTATTTACTAGCTGGGTGATCCTAGACAAGTTAATAGCTGGGCAATGTTTTCTTCACCTGCCAAAAGGAAATAACAGTAGTTCTTGTCTTACAGGGATATTGAGAATAATTTTTTAAAGATTTTTTTACTTATTTTTTTGAATAGAATAATTGGGGTGTAGGCTAGAGGCGTGGGAGGTGAGAGGCTCCATCAGAGAAAGAGTGGAGAGCAGATCAGGTGGGTTTATTAAAATAAACTGCTAAGGGGAGCAGTAGGCAATAGAGGAGAGGTCTGCTGCACCATCTGTGTTAGCTCCCTGGCTGGAGACCCAGCTAAGGGATTGAACTCAAGACCACCTTGGTGAGCCACCCTAGTGATATCCCTGAGACTTAACCCCTATGCCCCCAGGGAGGTCCTGAAATTGTGAGAAATAAAATACATTAAACGAGACTTACTGTAGTACCTCACATATGGTTAAAATGCTCCTGGCACCTGGTGAATATGCACCTGGTAACCACCATCCTGGTCATTATTTGTAAACATTAGTATCTCACCAATAACATTTGTGGGCTAATGAAAAACATGCTGAACTGGAAGTCCTGAGGCCTGTTGCTTTAATAATTCTGCTACTGATAGTTTATGTAAATTTAGATGTTAATTTGTCATTTTGCCAGCAATACATAGGTAATGCTATATCACTGTCACTAAGTGGTGATGTTGCATGACTAATAAATGTTACAAAAGATTTTAAAAGTTACTTAAGAGAGGTGTTTCCAAGCCATTTTAAGGCTATGTATGTCTAGATTAAGGAATAGAAAGTGGCTATAGAAGTTTGCTCCCTTTTCTCAAAATATTAGAATTCAAATATCTTTTACATAGGAGATAGGAGAGTAGCATTTATATGGTTAACTTTGAGATAACATTTTAAGTCTCATCTTAGCCTTTAGTTTTGCTCCTTCCATTATATTGTTTTTACATAAGGTGCTATTAGGTAACCCAAATACCATATTTTAGTTGTCTTTTTTTTTCCCTGTGTAGATTTGTCCACACTTGATCTTAGCCAAAGGCTAGGAAGTGTTCTGTGTATAGATTTGTCTAAGCAGTAAAAGGGCCATACATCAAATAGAAAAGGAGAGGGGAAAAGTGAAGAGATTCATGTGAGTAGATAAACAACATATAAACTAGTAATTAGCTCCCCTAATTGATTTTTTTAAAGGCATTTTATCCCATGAGTCTGCTTGTTCTGGTCCCTGTTCATCCAAATGCTAGGTGAAAAGTAGGTCATTGGGCCTTTGTAGTGGTGCAGGGGTTAAAGTCTCAGCACTGTCAAGCTGTTGACAACCACTGCAGAATAAGTGCCATGAGTTTGATGCCCGGCTAGGGAACTGACCCACAGATGCAAAAGACCTCTCCTGTCTTGCACGCTGCTCTCCTCAGGAGTGTATTTCAGTAGATCCGCTGGTTCTGCTCCCCACTCTGTCTTTGGTGAATCCTCTCACGCCCTGCACCCCTTGCTTGCACCCCAGTTCTTACATGCATAGATAATTTAAAAAATACACCTTTAGGGAAAAAAGAGGGGTCATGGATACCCCTTGACAGTAACTGAAAACAGGACTGTTCATCCCTGGCTGCTTTCTAGACAGGTTCCAGTCAGTCTCGAACATTGCTGTTTTATATTGTTTAAGAAAACACTTGAGTATATTTGAAGAATATACTTTTTCTGGATGAAGCTAGATGGTGAGATCAGTAAGAGTACCTATATGAGATAGTTGCTGTTCTAGTTGGTACCTGTGTCAGATGCATCATAGAGTCTAAGAATGGAAAGGGTTCCTGCAGCCATTTAGTCCACTTTCCTTAATCTTGGGCAGTATTACCTACATGCCAACCAACATAAGATTTTGTCTACCCCATTCATAAATAAGTTGTGATTGTACCCAAGTCACTTAAACAAGACCAGTATTATGTAATCTTCAGAATCTAGAAATTTTTCCTTCTGTGTAACTCATTTATTTGAGGTCTATTCTGCTTCCTTTAATGGAAGCATTTGATTTTTTTCTTATTAAAGAATAATCTTTCATATACTTGATGACTGTCCTTGGTTCACTCTGAAATTTTCCCACTTTGAATCTAATTTTTTTTAAAGATTTATTTATTTGTACATACAGAACTGAGGTACAGGCCAGAGGCTCAGGGGTGGCGAAAGGCTTCACCAGAGACAGAGTAGGGAGCAGAACAGGCAGATTGATGAAGTACACTGCTGAGGGGAGCAGCGGGCGGGTCCTGGCGGGTCAGGAGAGGTCTGCCACGCCATGTGGTCACCTCCGGGGCAGGCAGGAATCGAACTCATGAGGAAGTGGCTTTAGCTTCTCAGTGCAGTGCTTTAACCCGCTGCGCCACCAGGGAGGGCCGAATCTAAATTTTATTCATATATCTTAAAACTTCTGAACATTTTTCCTGCTTTTTAAAATTGTATGTATAGCTAGCATTTATTGAACACTTAACATATGTGCTTAGGGCTGGGCTAAGTACTACCCTATTGCACTGTCCTGTTGAATACTCAAAATAATACTGTGAGATAGGAAGGTGTTCAGCTTCCCTTTACAGATGAGGAAACTAAGGCTCAGAGAAGTTAAGTAATCTTACCATTGTCACAGAAGTGGAATTTTAATCCAGAGCCAGTTAACTCCAAAGCCAGAACTCAACAATCATTAGGTTACTAGACTCCTTTTATTAAGCTACATAACCATTGATGACATTTAAAACTATGTAATGATTAGAGCTGAGTAGTTTTCTAATTAAGATGGTTAATAGTGGCCCTCCCTGGTGGTGCAGCGGGTTAAAGCACTGCACTGAGAATCTAAAGCCACTTCAGCATAAGTTCGATTCCCGCCTGCCCCGGAGGTGACCACATGGCATGGCAGACCTCTCCTGACCCGCCCGCTGCTCCCCTCAGCAGTGTACTTCGTCGATCTGCCTGTTCTGTTCCTCACTCTGTCTCTGGTGGAGCCTCTCACCGCCCCTGAGCCTCTGGCCTGCACCCCAGTTCTGTATACACAAATAAATAAATCTTTAAGAAAAAAAAAAAAAAGATGGTTAATAGTACTGAATTTAGGGCATAGTCAGAACTCCTATTAATATATTTTGTTGATAGCATTATCTTGTTACTTGTAGGACAAAACTCCTATATGCATACTTTGTAGGAATATTTTGATTACTACTGTCAAGGTATCTTTTTGTAGTTTCTGACAACAAAAAGACTAATTCTGCCTAGTCTTTACTTTGTTATTTGGCATCATTCGGGTTCTTGGCACCCCAGAGAAGTTGAGTGTCTAATTTTGAGCTTATGATCTAGAT